TCCCAGAACGCTTTGCTTATACCGAAAGCAGATCTGGAATCAGCGTTAATGCTCTATAAAATCATATTCATCTTATACGGAAACGCCACATCGACCAAGTATCCTTTCCTTGTAAGACATTTATATATGTCGTTTTTTCTCGGCTGGAAATCAAGAAAACGAAGATTTTCATGCTTTTCCAAAGTGATGCTGTGATGTCCCCACATAGATAGTTGTACGCTACTAGCCTGTAGTAGTACAAATGTAAATTTTCAGCTCCCTACAAGTTTTGATTCTCGAGAAATACCGAATACAGCTTGCGTCAGTTGGGTGCCTTACTTTAAAATCCATGTTTCTCGAAAACTAGTGCTGTAGAGAGCTGAAAATTTACATTTGTACTTCTACAGGCTAATAGTATCAACTATCTTATATACAGTAACCGCCAAAAAGTTGCGGACAAACCCATCTCCCTTTTTCATCGCTCTTTTTCAGAGGGAAAACAAGGATGAAAAAATGTAATAATTGCATGAGGTGTTAGAGCTCTTCAAGATCTACAATCTGCACTTTAAGCCTTTTGAGAAACATGTATTCTAAAAATTTTAAGCATCTTTTTCTAGAAATAGTCCGAAATTGGCCGCGTCACAATGTCGCGGACAATAATTCTTCGAACGCAAAAACTTTCTTTCGAGACCTATTTGAAGCAAAAACACAAGTTATCCAAACTGGTAAGCATACTACTATACAGAGCTCGTCAAGAACTACACACTGGTTATGGTTGCTTCCCCAAAAAACGCAAGCATGAGTTTTATTTTGCTTTTTCCAAAAAACAACTTGTAATTTCCTTTATCAAGCTAAATTTCTTCACACGGAAACCTGTTCAAGACATACCAACAAAGCCGTCTGGATAAAATGGATGCTCTTTGCCATCCTCTATGCATCGGACGTGTGCTGGTGAGTTTCTTTGCTGAAAATGGTTCTTGACAGTGCGCGCACATGACCCCACCTGCACCTCACCACTGACGTGTACCGCTTTGCAGGCTTGTAACTCGGCCTGCAGTCAATGTTTAAGCCTGCAATTAGGCTCATTCGAAAGAACGAGACTTCCTGGACACGATGATATGCAAATGAGTTGAGTTTGAGAAATTTCAGAGATTTGGCGGATGGGGTGAAAAAATGCAGCCTTAAAGGTGATTGGAGTGAAAGCTCTTATGAACACCAGAACAGTCTTAGAACTTCGAAATGGATCTATTATGAGAAAATCGACAGTTTTGAACTTCCAGGATGAAATTGGTAGCGAAAGGAGCTCTTTTCAACTTTAGCTGAAAAGCGCTTAGCCTACAACTGAAGCTGCCCTCTTCCACCCCATCCGCCAAATCTCTGAAATTTCTCAAACCCAACTCATTTGCATATCGTCGTGTCCAGGAAGTCTCGTTCTTTCGAATGAGCCTAATTGCAGGCTTAAACATTGACTGCAGGCCGAGTTACAAGCCTGCAAAGCGGTACACGTCAGTGGTGAGGTCCAGGTGGGGTCATGTGCGCGCACTGTCAAGAACCTTTTTCAGCAAAGAAACTCACCAGCACACGTCCGATGCATAGAGGATGGCAAAGAGCATCCATTTTATCCAGACGGCTTTGTTGGGATGTCTTGAACAGGTTTCCGTGTGAAGAAATTTGGCTTGATAAAGGAAACTAGAAGTTGTTTTTTGAAAAAAGCAAAATAAAACTCATGCTTGCGTTTTTTGGGGAAGCAACCATGACCAGTGTGTAGTTCTTGACGAGCTCTGTATAGTAGTATGCTTACCAGTTTGGATAACTTGTGTTTTTGCTTCAAAATAGGACTCGAAAGAAAATTTTTGCGTTCGAAGAATTATTGTCCGCGAAATTGTGACGCGGCCAATTTCGGACCATTTCTAGAAAAAGATGCTTAAAATTTTTAGAATGCATGTTTCTCAAAAAGCTCAAAGTGTAGATTGTAGATCATGAAGAGCTCTATCACCTCATGCAATTATTACATTTTTTCATCCTTGTTTTCCCTCTGAAAAAGAGCGATGAAAAAGGGAGAGGGGTTTGTCCGCAACTTTTTGGCGGTCACTGTATAAAGCTGAATGTCTGTTTGTCTGTCTGCTCAGATAATCGCCGGGGGCAGGCGGTCTGCAAACTCGCGCTTTTCTGCAGGCGGTCAGCAGAATTTTGGGGCGTGGCCAAACCTTCAGCGGGCGGTACTTTCGTCTTCTGCCAGCGGGCAGCAATACAAAATTTCCTGCAAGCGCTCCGCAAAAAATTTCTTTCAGCGAGCGCTGGCCAAATTTTCAGCAAGCACTCGCTCTTTTTAGGCATTTTCGGGCGTACGTCGAGCGCAGGTAAGACTCTGTGTGGCAGAGGTGTCACTGTTGGTTTAGTTACTCAAGTTTGAGGTACTTTCTCTCAGCGGAAAGTACCTGAGGGTTGAGCGGTCCTCCACAAAGGACCGTGCGGCCCTCGAAATTTTTGCATATTCTCGCGGAAAGTCCGCGAGAATGCGGCCACTGCGCCGCAGCTAATCCATAAAGAAACCGCGATTGTTCTTCAAGCTTTCGTCTTTAATTTCGCCAACTTTCTTCCAAATTTCTGCAAGCGGGCCGCAAAAAATCAACGAACTATTTTTCCGGTGCCCGCCTGCCCATAAATCGCATCGCCGCTTGCCCCCGGCGATTATCTGAGTGTCTGTCTGTACGTATGTTCCGAATAGAAAATTCCATTTTTGAACCGATCCGGACCAAACTTGACACACATACACTTCGGGCCCCAGCGGGTGTCATAGGCTACTTTTCGTCATCGATCGATATCGATTTTATCGATTTTTTGCAAAATTTGAGCTACGGGGCTGGGAGTTGGCACAGGGGGGTAATCGAGCATGCTGGTCACCCCCGTGGGGGTGACCAGCATGCTCGATTACACCCCTCTGCCAAATTCCAGCCCCCTAAATTCCAGCCGGGGCCAGAAGTGCATGTGTGCCAAGTTTGGTCCGGATCGGTTAAGAAATGGAATTTTCTATCCGGAACATACGGCGGAGCCGGGTAAGCCAGCTAGTCAACTATATATGCAGGAATAGGACAGCGTCGCTTTAGCACAAATGAAAATCTTCGTTTTCTTGATTTCTAACCAAAGGAAAAATATGGCAACGGCGTATATAAATGTCTTAGATGAATGGTGTTTACGCAAACAAGTTAGAATATTTGTATGATTTTTTAAACGGAGTTATGATTTTTTCTCGATTTTTCAAGCAGTTGAAATCTATCTAGAAACAATAAGGTCATGATTTATTGAGATTGAAAATCAAAACGGACGGAACTTACGGGACAACGATACGTAAAGGCTGCTGCATGACGAGGGCGCAGAAACGGTATCAGTTGAGCGGGCGCGAACGCGGCGCGCGTGTGTTCTCACCGTTGTAGATCCTGCGCCTCACGCACTCTGCGGCTAAAGCCGCGATCGCGCCCAAAGGTATTCCGCCTTTATCATGCAGCAGCCTTTAGATTCATGTATGTCAGCTATGTCATGCAATCTTCAAATGTATGGCTAATATTCTCTTCATGAGGTGAGAAACAATGCTACAAGAAAGATCACTTGCACAAAAAAGCGTAGAGAGCAAGTCGACAGTCATGCCTGCGTCCGAGAGAATACTCGGACAAAGAACATAATATAGGAAATGCAAGTTTTGCAGTACAAAAGACATTATTGATGTCAATCATCAAAACATAAGAGTTCCCGAAAGCGTGTCAAGCGAGCTGGCGCTTTTAGTTTAGCGCGATCCGTTTGTGAAGGAAGATGAGAAAAATAGTACACGGATTAGAGAGGCACATCGGTGACGTCATGGGTTGGCGACCCAGCGGGGCACTTGTGAATACCGATCTTACCCAGTGGGTTCCGGAACTCACTGGGTTTGTTGATGAATATGGCCATAGGTTATTACATGATGAACGTGTTCCATCGTATCTTGCGAAAAGCGCGCGCGAATTGAATGCAAAGCCAAAATTGACAATTTGCTTGTTTACAGCGTAAAGACAAGCATATGACATAATATTTGAACTGTAGGCACAGAGTCATTTGAACAATTATGTAAAGAGGTTCGAGAACTTACGTGAAGTAACACCTTTTCCAAAATTAGTCCGTTTCCAGACAACCACCAGACGATCCGAGATCGTTTGGAGCATATAATTTTGTGAGTTTCACATAAGTTATAAACTTTTCTATCATGGACGGATTCCTCTGTCAAATATCTATCCCTGAGCATGAGAACATTTTCATATCATTGCCTTTCCTTTGTTTTTTGCTCTAATCTCTTCATAACTCGCTTTCTAGATATCACGCTCCAATGCCAAACTCTTGTGCACGCATAGTATACAGCTTCACTTTGGATTTTCACTCTTATCTCAAGTTTTTTTCTTTCAGACTAGTAACTTATTCTTGTTTTCATCTTCTCGTAAGTCGGTAGGTCAAAGGGAACTTCGCAAAACTTCCGAAAATTAGGGAAGACATCGTTTTCAAAAACCGACTCGTGCCGGGCCCTGACTTTGACCCATCTACCGTATATTCCCCCTCCCCGCAACCGCAAAAATAAAGCTATCACGCGGAAACAAGAGACGGAGTTTGAAAAGAGTTCGCCGCTAGGTTAGGGTGAAAACTAGAGAATATAGTTATGAAAAAACTGAGGAATTATGTGAACATGTAACAATATTACTTTGCTTCTTCGGTGTCACCTTATTTCAAAGATAGTTCCACGGCTCATTCAGATAAATCTTTATTCAGAGTCCTCATACGATGGTTCTCTTCCCTACGTGCACACACCTAAGCTAATGCCAGCAGAAAATACAGGCTTGTTTGCCGCATATGAAATCGCGTTCCAAACGTATCAACGGTTTTATATTTGTAAACCTTGCTGAATGATTCAATGAACGAAAGCAAAGCTTATAGAGTTTCTGTCAGTGACGAGTTGTTGGACAAGGGGAGCTTTTTGCAAGTGAAGAAAACTAGCGTCATACCTTGGCAGCAAGGAATGGATTGTTGAAATAATGAGTGCAGCATATGAAGACAAGTAGATGATTAGGCCAGTCGTTGTTGCGGCCGACAAGAAGTGCGGCAGCTTGTCTGCAAAATAACAAAGTTTATAGAAATGATAAAACTATTTTTGCAGCCAATACACTAAGCAACTAACAAGGGAAGTTCGCCGAATCGAAATGGCCGACTGGTACGTGGTATATACCCGGACGCGGGGCTCGGAAGGTTAGTATCAAATGTGCGCCCATTAGCTGCGACGCGTTATTGTGAAGCAAGTTATGGCCCTCTGAAGTTTTTGGCGTGTGCATGTCTAGAGAACACACAAATGCTCCGATTGTGGTCGTGTGGTGTAGTGGTTAGCGTCTCGGACTCACAGGTGACCGGTGAGGGTTCGAATCCTGTTGCTGTCCACATGTTTTGCGTTTTTCTCAAAAATCATCTTTTACCTGTTTTATGTATTATTGAGGTAAAAAATGACACACACGGATTACGGAATGATTTTTCTCACGAAAATTCGACCAGTGCTTCATATGTAAGATTTTCGTAGAACATAGCAACGACTTTTTAGCGACGGCTTTTCAATCGACTTTGAAGATTTGCCAAATCCTCACTCCCACATACTTTCTTCGATTGCACGTAGTATTTACGTGACAATCTCCAAGTTGTATCACGTCGTACTATCGATTCTTGCTAATGGGCTACCTTGTGAGAATGACACGGCAGGATGTGTAGTAGAGTTTAACCACCCGTACGTGTCATTTTTTACGTCAGTAATGCATAAAACAGGTAAAAAATGAATTTTGAGAAGAACGCAAAACATGTGGACAGCAACAGGATTCGAACCCTCACCGGTCACCTGTGAGTCCGAGACGCTAACCACTACACCACACGACCACAATCGGAGGATTTGTGCGTACTCTAGATATGCACACGCCAAAAACTTCAGAGGGCCATAACTTGCTTCACAATAACGCGTCGCAGCTAATGGGAGCACATTTGATACTAACCTCCCGAGCTCCGCGTCCGGGTGTATACCACGTATCAATCGGCCATTTCGATTCGGCGAACTTCCCTTGTAAGGCCCCGGTCAGACTTCACGCGACTTAATCGTCGCGATCTAATCGCCAGGATTTCCATTCATTTTCACTTCACATTCAAAAATTTCGAGCTGGAAAAGTATCACAACCGAATGCAAGTGGATCGGCATGGAATGATGTTGTAACAGTTTCTCGTCGCGATTCAGACGCAACGATCAAATCGCGTGAAGTCTGCCCGGGGCCTAAGCAGTCCGAATAAAAATCATCATGAAGTCACCTGCGTAAGACAATTTTGTATCTTTGGGGCAATTCTTTTAATTGATGGTCCTAGGTCGGTAGAGCAATTTGAGAATATGTTGTGAGTGTTCTTGGAAGTCGAAAGCAGTTTTTCTTATGAATACGTTCTTTAAGCGGCATGTAGGGCACTTGCGTAAAAACGGACATCGCTCTGTAAGCGGCACGGACTGTATTTTGATTGGGCAGGGAAGATGTATTTATGATTGGGCAGGGAAGATGATTATCGGGCAGGGAAGATGTATTTTGATTGAGCAGGGAAGATGATTTTTTTGTACGTTTGGGGCAGTTTTCTTATAATTGACTGTCTTTAGTTGGCACGTAGGACGATTTGGCGATACGTTGTGAGTATATGCTTGACTTAGTTTTTTTTTTCAGTGAAGCAGAAAGATATTTTTTTATAAATTTGTTTCTTTGGAGGCGGTGTCTCGGAAAAATTTCGCTTTTCGTTTTTTCACTTTTTCGGAGCCTTTTCGTCATGCTGAAACCATATCTGGACTTTTTCAGTGCATGAAAATGAATAAAGAGCTCTTTTCAAAGCTCTCCAAATCCGCGTTCGCTCAAAGCTACGTGTAACTGGACGGGTCGGGTCGGGTCCGGAAGAATTCTGGAGTGGATTTCAGGCCTTTCAAATGTGGCTTCCCGCTCCAAACTTCATTGATAGATTATTTGGAGAGTCTACTATTGCGATTATCCTTCTATATATATAAAACCGAATGGTGTACTTGTCTGTACGCTGGTGGATGCTGTCTCGTCCTCGATGGTGTTTTTCTGGTCGATGGTGTTTTCGTGTCGATCGTTTTCCAGTATGGAAATTGTTACTACTTCCACCAAATTTATCGATTAATTGCAAATTTTGAACTACGAGGCTCGGAGTTGACACAAGGGGGTAAGCGAACATGCTGATTACGAAAACAATATCAGTTTTTAGAATTATCAGTTACTTTTACCATTTCGTCGAATTTTTTGCAAAGTTCAAGCTACGGGGCTGGGAGTTGGCACAGGGGGGTAATTGAGCATGCTGATTACGAATATGATAACCATTTTCAAAAAATACCCATTACTTTTATCATTTTATCGATTTTTTTGCAAATTTTGAACTAAGGGGCTGAGAGTGGCACAGGGGGGTAATCGAGCATGCTGATTACGAATACGATAACCATTTTCAAAAATGCCCATTACTTTTATCATTTTATCACTTTGTTTGCAAATTTTGAACTAAGGGGCTGAGAGATGGCACAGGGGGGTAATCGAGCATGCTGATTACGAATATGATAACCATTTTCAAAAATGCCCATTACTTTTATCATTTTATCGAATTTTTTGCAAAGTTCAAGCTACGGGGCTGGGAGTTGGCATAGGGGGGTAATTGAGCATGCTGATTACGAATATGATAACCATTTTTAAAAATACCCATTACTTTTATCATTTTATCGATTTTTTTGCAAATTTCGAACTAAGGAGCTGAGAGTTGGCCGAGGGGGCTAATCGAGCATGCTGATTACGAATATGGTAACCATTTTCATAAATGCCCATTACTTTTATCATTTTATTGATTTTTTTGCAAAGTTCAAGCTAAGGAGTAGGGAGTTGGCACAAGGGGGTAATCGAACATGCTGATTACGAATTTGATAACCATTTTCAAAAATACCCATTACTTTTATCATTCTATCGATTTTTTTTTTGCAAATTTTGAACTAAGGGGCTGGGAGTTGGCAAAAGGGGGTAATCGAGTATGCTGATTACGAATACAATATTAGTCTTTAGAATTATCAGTTACTTTTATCATTTCGTTGTTTTTTTTTGCAAAGTTCGAGCTACGGCGCTGAGAGTTGGCATATGGGAGCAAGCGAGCATGCCGATTACGATGATAACCAATTCAGAAAATACCCATTACTTCTATTGGTTTAATCAATTTTTTTTGCAATGTTTGAACCACGGCGCTGGGGGTTGGTACGGAGGGCGTGCAGGAGTTCCTAGCACCTTTCCTCGCACCAGCATTCGCACCCAGGAGGGTTCTAGCACCTCTGCATCTCAGATGTCAAGACGCGCCCATTGCTCCTCCCATTTACTGATCTCATTGTGAGGCGTGCAAGCAGCGAGAACACAGATTCAGGTATTAAAGTAAAAGAGAAAAAATGGAGAAAAACGGAAGATAGTTACCATTTCTAAGTGAGATGGCTTGGTAACTTCTGCTATGCCATTTTTGTGAAAAAAAGCACATGAACATTACTTTAAGAAGAGGAAAATAGCAGAGAATTTTTTGAATGGAAAATCCGATTGTTTGAATGTTCGAAATAATAGAGCCTCTAGTAATACCAAACTAGGATACCAAACTTCGTCGCGTGATCGAAGAGTTGACCAAGAGTTTCAAACACGACATTGAATTTGCAAGGTGTGGTAATTTGTTATTCTTAGATGATTTTAGAACTTGCGTAAAATAAACTAACGTCTCTGTTATATACCGTGATTGAATGACTCATAACTTCTGCTTAATTTATATTAATGCGATATGTTTCACAAACTTACTCAAGCACGAGCACTCAAAAGTTTTTGAGGAAGCGTCAATTTAACCGAAAAAATCAATAAAACATAACTCGAAATTCAGCTGCAGTCGTTTATGGATCCTAAACCTTTTAAAACCTACAAGTTTCTTTTTGTTTCTCGATTTCAGTTCTATTATCCTAATATACAATGAAGCATGTCTTGCAGTGCGTGTACACAATTTAGAATGAGGGCACCTAGAGAGTGATGGGCGGAGCCGCCCTTTGGCCTTGAGAAGGTGTGATGTTCTCCAAGGAATTTCTGGAAGCGCCAAGTACCCCTGCGAGGAAAAGCGGCTAGGCTTTGGGAACTCCTGCCACGCCGCCGATTGTACAGGCTGGTAATTGAGCATAGTGCTCACGAACACGTTCTTATTTTACAAGTTATCGATTACTTTCACTTGCCTTATCAATTTTTTGCAAAGTTTAAGCCACGGAACTGGGATTTGGCACATTGGAAAAGCGAGCGTCCCGATTACGATTGTAATAAGTGTTCTTGAAAGTACCTATTATTTCTGTCGATTTTTCTGTTTCTTTGTAAAATTAGAGCTACACCGCTGGTTTCTGGCACAAAGTTGTATGTGAGCACGCTCACTGCGAAGAAGTAACCGTTTTTGAAAATACCCATTACTTTCATTGATTTCATCTTTTTTAAAGCTGAAGCTACGAGGCTGGGATGGCACCGGTCCGGGGGTAAGTGAGCATACTGAGAATTCTATAATCACACTAGGAATTGACGAAGACGGTAAATTTACCTACAGTTGTTATAGATCCACTTTGGCCCGCCATTACCTTCTAAAATCCTACTTCTGCCCTTAAAATCAGAAAAGCACAAAGAGCCTGGTCTTGAGGGAAGTAAAGGTTTATAAACTGAGGCGGCAAGACATTTCCGCTAAGAATTTCTACGAGTCAATACCTAATTATACAGAAATTTAGAATTTACTTCTGTCCCTTCCACTTTGCAAAAACCATACTTCTGCCTCTGAAAGCAGAAAAGTGGTCTCTGGGGATTGACAGACCTATGAGCTTCATCCGAGAGGACATTTTCACTGAAACTTTTGGCCCCCAAACTTCGCAAAAACCACAAACTCAAAAACCACACTTCTGGTCCTGAAAGCAAAAAAGACAGGGAGCTTGGTCTCGAGGGAAGAAAGAATTATGGCCTCAGGCAGCAAGATATTTTCGCCAGGAGTTTCTGGGTGTTAATGATTATATC